AAGAATGCCATGGTCGTGGAGAGGCGAATTCCTTCCAGCACAAAAGAATGAGTACAACATGGTCAGACATGCAGTTGAAAACGAGCGCTTTCCAGGTCGCTACCCCAACAGCCCTGCTCGAACCTTCCAGGAAATGAGCGTTGAAGAGCAGGCCGGCATGGTGAAAAAGCGACTTACGGACTACAGCAAGAAGATCTATCACAAGATCCACGAGACGAAGACCATTGAGCGTGAGGCCATTATCTGCCAGCGAGAGAATCCATTCTACGTCGACACCGTCAAAGACTTCAGAGACCGTCGATATGACTTCAAGGGCAAGCAAAAGGTATGGAAGAACAACTCCGAGTTGCTGATGTCGTCAGGAGCGTCAGCGGCGGAGGTTGAAGAGGCCAAGAAGATGGTAGTTCTCTACGACTCGCTTCAGTTGGCTCACAAGGTCATCTTGAACAGTTTTTATGGGTACGTTATGCGTAAAGGCTCGCGATGGTATTCAATGGAAATGGCCGGGGTGACATGCCTGACTGGAGCCCACATCATACAGATGGCAAGAGAACTGGTGGAGCGGATAGGAAGACCTCTAGAACTTGACACTGATGGTATCTGGTGCATGCTACCAGCTACTTTCCCCGAAAATGTCGTCTTCACGCTCAAGAACGGCAAGAAGCTGCCAATCTCCTACCCTTGCGTTATGCTGAACCATCTTGTCCATGGCAAATTCACCAATCACCAGTACCAGGACCTCATCGATCCTCAGACTTTCAAATACGAGACGCATAGTGACAACACCATCTTTTTCGAAGTTGATGGGCCATACCGGGCTATGATATTGCCAACCTCAAAAGAGGAAGACAAGAATCTCAAAAAGCGCTACGCAGTATTCAATCATGATGGTAGCCTCGCCGAGCTCAAAGGCTTCGAGGTCAAGAGGAGAGGAGAGCTCAAGCTTATCAAAATTTTCCAAACACAGATTTTCAAATTCTTCCTTGAGGGTGATACGTTAGCGGATACATACGCCTCAGTATCCAAGGTGGCCAACCGGTGGCTTGATGTTCTGCATCAACATGGTTCGACACTCGCTGACGAAGAGCTGATTGATCTGATCTGTGAAAACAGAAGTATGTCGAAAGCTCTCGAGGAGTATGGTGCGCAGAAGTCGACATCAATTACCACTGCCAAAAGATTGGCCGAATTTTTGGGCTTGCAGATGGTCAAAGACAAGGGTCTGAACTGCAAGTACATCATCTCGGCCAAGCCCAAAAACGCGCCAGTGACCGAGAGAGCGATACCAGTAGCTATTTTCTCGGCCGACGATCAAGTCAAACGCTATTTCTTGCGGAAGTGGATGCGAGAAGACCCAAGCGACATGAACCCCCGAGCCCTCATTGATTGGGACTACTACACCGAACGTTTGAGTGGCGTGATTCAGAAGCTCATTACCATCCCTGCCGCTTTGCAGAAAGTTCGCAACCCAGTTCCACGGGTTGCGCATCCGGATTGGCTACAACGTAGGATCAATGTCAAGGACGACAGGTTCAAGCAGAAGAAGATGACCGACCTCTTCGACAAGGCACCGCTGTCTGAGATATCTATGAACACTCTGGATCACCGACTACCTACTGACGTGGAGGATTTTGGATCATCCCAGCTTTCGAATGCTAAGACGGGCGAGGTCACCCGAATGGTGCAGAAAAGGAAAGCTCCAGAGCCAGCAACTGTAGCGAACGCAGACCCCTATGCCAGTCTTCCTTCAAAGATGCCATCAATGACCGAAGACTACGAAGGTTTTCTTCGGTATCAAAAGAAAAAATGGAAGATTCAGAAGCAAGCTCGCATACGTCGACGCCAGCTCTTTGGCGAACGGAGTAATGCTGCAGCAGACACCCTCGGAAGTCTCTTTCAGAACCAGGCAGAATTGTTGTTCATCAATACTTGGCAGGTATTGCAGCTGCGAGACTCGGAGACGCCAGGACAAATTCGAGCTTTTGTTCTGATTGACAAGAAGGTGCATCCCCTCACAGTGAAAGTACCCAGACAACTGTTCTTGAACCTCAAGGGAAATGAGTTGCCCGATGTTGATGTGGAAGGCTGCGTTGTCGAAAAGGTCACCCACACGCTGCCAAACGGACATCCCTCGGTCCATCTTTTCAAGCTTGTGATGTCCGAAGAAGTCTACGTCAGAGAAGACCAGAAACTTGCCACCTTGTTCAACCACCCAAGCGTCGAAGGCGTCTACGAGAAGCAAGTGCCTCTTGCTATGAGGGCTGTGCTCGAGCTGGGAAGTCTATGCACTTTCGACGAGAGCCAGAAAGGAGTCTTAGGTCGAGGTCTTGAGCATGGCTTCGATCTCCCGGCCTTACGACGCACTCCAGCAAAGCAGCCTTACCTTCTTGAGACGGAAATGGCTTTCATCTACCTTTACCACCTTGAAGCTGGTGATCGTCAGATTTTTGCGCTGTTTTCAACGATAAAGGATGAAGCGCACATCATCGTTTTTGACCGCTCAAAAGACACCCAAGGATTGCCTAATGCTGAAAAGGTCTATTCTGAACTACTAGCCAGGCGACTTAATGACAATGGAGGTGAGCCCTGGCAAAACATCTTCGAATATCAAGGACAAATTCGGTTCAAGACCACACAAGTCAGAACGAAGAGAAAGCTACACCTTGATGTCGGTGACATTGTCAAGAAGATGAAGGGTGACGAGAGCAAGCCAACGCTTCTAGTTATTCAGTCTCCACAGAGACGTCTGCTGCTGAATGACATTCCGTCGCTCAATGATCTGCCAGTCCTTCCGTTGAAAGTCGAAACTTCGGACAGTAATCTCCCTCAACTTGGCTGGCAGGGGTTCGTTGTCAAGCGCCTGGTGACTCACTACCTTGCTTTAGGTTCATGGATCAGCCATCTCGTTGAACTGGCAAGGTATGGGGATATTCCCCTCTGCAATCTGGAAAGGGATGATCCCCGGTTCCTGATCGATGTCGCTTATGCGAGACGGCTACAGAAAAGCAACGTGGTTCTGTGGTGGTCCGGTGGTCCCCTACCAGACCATGCTGGTTACGAGAAAGACGATATACTGACGCCCATGGAGACTGTCAGTATGCCTGCTGTTAACAACCCTGGCACATACTCGTCCGTCTGCATAGAGCTGGACGTTCGGAACCTCGCGATCAATACGATTCTAACGTCGTCTCTCATCAATGAGCTTGAGGGTAGCGATTCGGTTGCGTTCAATCCAGCTGCGCCAAGTGAAGAAGACGCCAACAATGGAACGGGTGTTCTCTACTCCGATAATGCCTTTGCATCTGCCGGCGTCACTGTCCTTCGAGAGATGGTAAAAGCCTGGTGGACGGAAGCCTGCAAAGGCAGTCCAATGGCCGACATCATGGTGCAGCATCTTGTGCGTTGGGTCGAGAACCCTGACTCATTTCTCTACGATCGCTCATTGCACTACTACGTGCAAATGATGTCTAGGAAAGCTTTCCAGCAGTTGATGACGGACTTTAAGCGCGTCGGATCCCACATTGTCTTTGCCAATGCAAATCGTCTTCTCCTCCAAACCACGAAAGCAGAGGTTGGCAACGCCTACGCGTACAGCCAGTACATCCTCAAGTCAATTAAAGCAAAGCCACTGTTCCATTTCCTTGATTTGGATATCAAAGAGTACTGGGATTACCTTGTCTGGTACGACGAATTCAACTATGGCGGCAAAGCATGTCAAAAAGTCGTCGAAGCAGAAGTGCAGACCCTTGACACGATCATGCACTGGCAGCTAAACACTTTCCTCCCCCTCCAATATCAGTCAATCTTCCACGACTGGGTCGTCGATCTCATCGATTTGATGCATCAAATCAAACGGCCTTGTCAGACACCCGTTGGCGATGACGGTTCAGTTTCCACCGCTCGACCGACTCAGCTCCCAGTCCGCCAACTTGGTGCCGATGACGATGCGAAAAGCAAAGATGTTTTCACAAAAGCCATTTCAAAACCCCTGAAGCGCCAGATTATCGCCCTGATCGCTCGCTATCGTTCAGAGCTCGCTCACCCGGACCTTGCTTCAGATCACAACTTTCCCACCCTCCCTGGCTCCCATCTCAACTTCAAAAATACTCATCCAGTCCTACAACTCGTCAGATCCATCATGCACGTCTTTTCGCTCGACAAAAGCATCAATCTCGAAGTACGCTACCTTCGCAAGGAGCTTCTTGCATTCTTCGAGATCAAAGAATTCAGCGCTCAGGCTCGCTTCGAAAATCCGAGCTCCAGCCTCAAATTGGAGCAGCTCATCTGCGAGCACTGTACCATGGCGCGCGATCTGGACTTATGTCGAGACGAGGACATATTGCCGGAAACTGCGACTAACGACTCCGAGCCAGCAGCAAGAGCATGGGCCTGCACGACTTGCGGGCATCAGTATGATCGACTGGCTATCGAAGAGCGCTTGATCGGGCGGGTCCAAAAGGTACTTGTAGAATGGCAAACCCAGGACCTGAAATGCGGGAAGTGTAAAAAGATCAGGGTGAATGATTTCATGGAACATTGTGGGTGCAGTGGGGGCTGGGTGGGTACTGTGGATAAGGACGATGTTGTTAGCAAGCTGAGGGTGCTCGAGAGCGTGAGCAAGATCTACAAATTGAAGATGTTGGAGGGAGTGATGGGAAATGTTCTAGCGAGGCTTTGAAATTGGCGTCTAAGGGATGATGGTTGCTTTACGTACATTGTAGCTGATACCATTGCGGATTTGGAGTAAGATGTCATTGTGAGCAATTAGCGATTAGCATTCTAGGAGTCGGATCATTGCTTAAGCAGTCATCTGAAAGATCTGGATGAGCTATTCCATTGTTGATGCTATTTTTCTCGTTTTCTTTGTCAAATTCAACTCCGCGGGAGGCAGGAACTTCTCCCGTTCCATTTCGTCAAAGCACTCGGAGAGCGCATCCAAGAGTCAACATATCTGCACAAGCGGTGAGTCAACAGTCCGAGCCCTGTTGATAAGAATAAACTTACCCCGTCCATCCATACTTCCTCGCCTTACTCATGCTAATAACAACGTCGTAAATTCCTCCCCAGCACCAAATCCAGGAACCCCCAGCTAGCCTTCCCGAACGCATCCTTCTCCAGCCCTTCTCTCGCTTGTAGCTTTTCCCACCTGCATACATCGAAGTCTGCGTGCCTCTGAGACAAAAAAAACCCCCAGGATCTGAAACAGGTCTGCCTAGCAGTCTGAGCCTTTTGCTCGCTCGGGATACATATATTAGGACCCAAACACAGTTTTGATTGGAAGTGAACCGGGTAGGAATGTGCACTTACGCCTTCTTGACATCCTCACGCTGACTCCATTTTATCGAGTCGATCTTCTGCTCCATTTTACCTTGCGTGAAATTCCCCTCCAAGTCCCTCTCCGTATCCCTTTCGGCCATTGGAGGTTTCTCCGCCAGCAAAATCACGCTGTCTGTATCCTTGCCCACATCGACTGTGAATTGGTTGCGGGGGGTATGGCAGCGGAAGGGCTTCGCGAGCTTAGGCCACATGTGTTGCCAGGATTCGGTGTCCCCGTTGACCACGGTGAAAGCCTGGTTGCCGCACTTGGATTCCATGGCCGCCCAGAGGCTGAATTGTCCGTGCAGGCGGGAGTACGTGAAGCTGGATGTAGAATGTCCCGCTACCGGGAAACATGAGGTTGCCATCGAGCTCCTTTGAGATAGCCGCGTAGAGGCCTGAGGCCGTGGCGCGATTCATGAAATTGCCTTGTGCAACGCCGATGACATCGTTGCGGTAGGTAACGACCTAGTCCTAGTTGGATTTCTTTGCTTTCTTGGAGAGGATACGCTTTTGATGGTAGTAAAAGTTCGAGGGGCGCCCTTCGCCTTCGATCCATCGGTCCGATTCTTCCATGGGCTGTTTTGGGCAGCCGAGATGTACACCATATTGCTTTGCGCCTGTTGTGAGGATGACAGGTTTGAGCTTCTTGGATGCGCCAGTGATGTCGAGGGCGTTGAGGAAGTTCGCTGACGTTGCGCCGTTGACGTTCCAGCTCTCCTCATCGGAGTCTTTCTGTAAGTAGGCAGCGAAGACTGGATTGCAATTTCGCAGTCAGTGTTGCCTATTTGAGGAGCAATTTGAGCCTTGAAACAAGTTTTGAGAATGAACACGTCCAAGACACGTTTCAAGAATCCGGATTTGTCCAGAAGAGGAAATCGGACTGGGAGAACACGTACAAAGGTGCTCTGCCTCGACGCCCTCAAGTTGTTTTGCCATTACTCTAGCATCCAGTGTTAGATCAACAGTATCCTAGTACATTTCGGAGCCAACATCCCATTCGTTGATAAGGATTTGAGTAATAAGACATGTTTGTGGAGTAGAAAGGGTGCTAGATTGGGCTACTTGTCCCCCCAACGTGTCTCGCGACTCAAGAAGCAGTCTCGAACAGGAAGAGATAATTCGGAAAAGCGCCTTACGTGCTTCAAGTTCGATGGGTATGTCTCCTTCTGACTCCTTGACAAGGCGTGTACGGTTCGCCATTGTTTAGGGTCTTTGCCGAGGGCGTGAATGATTTCACAGCCCAGGATACCTGGTGTACGAGATGATACGAGTACAGGCTTGGGAAGAGATACCAACGACTTGCTAGTCAGGAGGCGCGAACCTTGTGGTACCAGTAACAATTGCAGAAGACATGTTGTATATGACTTAAGTGATTTAGGTATGGATTGTAGATGATGAGGGGGGATTATTGTAAAGTGGAAAAAACTGTATGCATGTTTTGTTTTCATTGATATAAATGAAGACACGAGGAAACGATCACGGTGAAGCTTTCGCATTACAACGTAATTATGACGAAGTCAAATCCTCGCCATGAAAGCGAACATCCGATAGACCTCCGCCAATAATCAAACGCCCAGACGGAGCTTTTCCCCTTCCATTTCTCTTGCCAATTGATGCGTTGCAGCTCAGCGTACATGTATTGGATGAGGCAGGCATCTCTGGGAAAGTGAAAGCAAAAAAGAGAGACAGAGACGGGGCCGGAGACGCTGACAGAGGCGTATGTACACTTCAGATTGGAATACGTAGGTAGGTCTCGCGGTGTTGGAACCTAGATCGCGGGTTCTGTGTGGATTTATATGCGGACGGAATGAGAGCCAAATGACATGAGATATCGTCGAGAAGCCCAATTTCTTGTCCGTGGTAGAGGCTTCGAGCCTAAAGGAAGACGAGGGGGAGATTTTATAGTGGAATGCTTTGTGTAATGACTTTGTGTAATGACCAGTAAATCGAACGTTCCCCATTGCATCTTCCCTAAGCCTCCCAACGCATGGCATCCACATCGCATTATTCGTGATAAAGTCTGATTCATCCAGTCATTTTCTCTGGGATCGAAACTGCTCCTTGATCTCTTCAACATAATGGTCGAGGAAATTCTTGGTTGGCTCTGCAACGAAGCCGACAGTCAGCCTTGCGCGATCCTTCTTCTCGATTCCACTCACTATCCACTCGATCTATTTTGGTACCGCCCATCTCTTCCAGGTCAGGCCCCTGTCGCAGGTGACGGATTTTTCTATGTACATTCTGGACCGCTCGGTGAAAGGTGGGGCTTGCGAGTAGCTAGCATCATCAGCGATAGTAGATCCAATATTGGCATAGAATCATACTCGAGTGGTCAGCCATGCCTGTTCTTGCTCAGCCTGGACATTCTGTTTGTGGATTGTGTGAATGATGACAAGCCCACCTCAAAGATTTGCACATGAATTCGCCCCCACCCCATTATCGTGACAACATGGGAATTAAAAGATAAATTTCCAGCTCGCGCAATCAGAGAGTAGTTTTCTTGGTGAGTGAAGGTTGTTTCGATGTCGAGATGATTGTGCTTGAGCTTGAACGGTTAGGTGTTTGTATCTCGATTTTCGAATTTCACCTGACCAAGCGGAAGTGGCAACAAAAGAAATCTATTTTTGGGAAAGCGCGAGAGGCTGCTGGAACGGTGGAATTTTGATGAACAAATGTCCAAGGTACAACAAGTCACTCCCTACACTACTACCGTATGTTTGACTGCCTCTTTCCTATCCGATCATCACGAAAATATCAACACTCTTTCTTTCAAGTTCTCTCCCGCTCCCTGTTGACCGTTTGGCTCTTATAATTATTTTCCAACACTCCTCCTCCCTTGCCTTGCCTCTTAGCTGACCTCGTTGACTTTCATACAAGCAAGCCGACTTTCTTATTTCACCAGTCTCTGATTCGTAAAAATTTCGTGTATGCTTTCTGGCAGGAAAGAGACGTGAAGAGCAGGTGTGATCCATCCAGGAGGCTTTCACTGCCTCAAATTTATTTCACGTCTTTCTCAACACTTTCATCATCGTCATCGACTCCTTAATGTAATTCACATGCGTTTGGACATGACGGCTCCTTTCGCCAAAGGTTTCAGCACGGCATATAAAAGAGCCCGCTCTCAGGATAGCCCTACGCCCTTGGCATCACCGCCAGTGTTAAAAGCGACCAAGATTGAAGAAGAAGAAGAAGAAGAAGAAAAAGAACAAGGGGCTCAAGTTGAGTCCCGGATCCCGGCTTTCCTCCATCAATCACAAAGCGGTAAGCCTTCTCTTTTCGTGTGTCGTGCATACGCGAGCATGCATTATGCAGCTTCTTTTTAGATCATCCACTAAAACCACATAGCTGTTCGAGCTAAATTCAATGACTTGGCATGGAAGGAGAAGCTCCGTATCTTGCAAGGTCGGAGCGATCCATCTTCACAATGGGTGCAGGATACAAGCCCTCATGTCATGAGGCGGAATCGTTACGGTAACGTCCAGCCATGGGAAAAGTCGCGCATTCATCTCAAAGTTGCCGAAGGAAAGTCCGACTACATCAATGCCTCGCCCATATCACTGCGCGATCCACGAACAGGAGTAGAAACTAAGTTCATAGCAACCCAAGTATGTCTGTCCCGCTTTCCGCTGTTTCCTGACCAACTTACTGAACCTCTTCAAAGGGTCCCAAACAATCGGGTTTGAGCCATTTCTGGCACATGATATGGCAGGAAACCACCGACGTAGCTGTCATTGTTATGCTAACCCAAACCCATGATGGGACAACGGAGAAATGTTTTCAGTATTTCCCTTTGAATGTCGAGGCCGGATATTTTAAGGTAGAACCGCTAGACAGAGCGAGAGACACTCCGGAAGGCAGTGTAACTTTCTTGGAATACCATTTGGATATGGACTCAAAGACAGAAATCCGCAAGTTATCCTTGAGATTTGGTGCAGAAACGAAGGATGTATGGCATTTCTTGTTCTCCGGCTGGCCGGACTTCGCTGTTCCCGAAGACAACAACCGTACTGCGCTCCTGGAGCTCTTAAAGCTTTGCGCAGAGAAGAACACTTCGCCCAGCAACCCTAGGATTATCCATTGCAGCGCTGGGGTGGGACGATCAGGAACTTTCATCGCCTTAGAATATCTTCTTGCTCAAGTGGAATCAGGTGCAATACTGGACGCTAAAGAAGGCGAAGACATGATTTACGAGGTGGTGAACTGTTTGAGAGAGCAGAGAATGCTCATGGTGCAAATGGAGGGACAGTACCAATTTCTTTACGATGTCATTCGTGATCAGTTCAAGGAACGGCAGCTACAGGCATCCGGGCAGCACTCCCCAAAGCTTCAAGTGCAAGCGAACGGCATGAAGCCAGCAATTATTGATGACGCCAGTAATGCAGGTGGCTTTTTCAGCAACGTGAAGACCGATGAAAGTCAGGCCGCAGCCGTAGCAGAGATGAAATCTGGTGAAGGCCAGGTCGAAGAGTCCAAGCCAGCAGGTCAGGACCCCGGTGAGCAGTAAGGACTTTGAAGATTTGGGGGCAGGTCTGAACCTTGATAGGTGTACCATGGTTGGCGGCCTCTTTTGGACGAGACTTTCTCTTTGTCTCGAGCTGCATCGTGGCGTTTGCTGCAGGGATATCAGGGATGTATCTTTGGTTCCGTGGGACAGGCGCAGATGGATGTTTGTGAGGCGATTCAGCACTATTAGACCATGCTAAACTCTACCAACATGAGATATGTGCAGTATGGGATTTCTTTGGCGCATTTTGAGCAGCAGCAAGCAAGCAAGGTTAGGTAGATAGCAGATCGAACAAGAATGAAGTAGCTGGTGAGCGGTCGCACACGAGGAAGTTCTGCTACTATGATGCCTTTTGCTTCCCATAAAACGCTTGCTATCAATCGATAGCAATACCAGCCCTTTAAAAATAAGGTACTACCTCACGCCTGAGCTGTCTTCGCTAAGTTGTTGGCCTGCTGTGGATTGATCTTCTTTCCATCCTTGTTGAATCGGACCCTCGGAGGTGGTGCGCGATTTCGGCGCCCTTCTCGAGAGCGGACACTAGGCGCAAATCTCGTCAGTCCAAGAGCCCCCAGGATGTGATAGGAGAAACGTACCGAACGATCTTGCCATGAATGGCACATGAGACACAGTATTGGAGCTTCAGGTACATCTTTGGGACGGCGTATTCGGGAAAGACAGAGGCATCAGAGATATCGCCTGAATTCAAGTTCCATACGTTAGTCGTCATGATTGCATTGAGCTCCCTGTGCAGTTCAGGACGTAGGTAAGCCTGGGGGGAGGCAAGACGTACGAATAGCAGCACTCTCAACCATGTTGCGGATAGTGAATCTCTTTATCGCCTTGTCCTTTGGTGTACACCGCGAGCAGTTGGAGCAGCGGATAGGCTTGACGTGACCTCGTCCCTTCTTGTTGCGACCGCTGTAGTAGACATGTTAGTCACGCGCTTGAGGCTCCTGATGTGGGTGTGGAGGCGTACTTGGATGCTCGCTTTTTAACCATGGTTGCGGTTCTGAAAAGAGGTCAATAACAGTGATACTTTAGCGGCCTGCGCTACAACGAGCCTTATATACGTACTTTTCGAGATGTGTTGATCAAAGAGTCGATGGTGCAAGTGCTCGTTGCTCATAAATTCAAGAGTGGGAGTGCTTCGCTTGGTTAAACCTCGGCGTCTTGGCGGTCACTGCTGTTGTCGCCGACTTGCCGATGTTTACGAATCGTTCAACACCCGAATCTCATTCGTCGAGAGAAATCATCGTTCCCAATTGACTTGTATTCCTCACTACCATGTCAGCTGCCAGTGGAACTTTCAGAGGTACCCCAAATAGAGGTGGTCAAGGCAGAGGTCAGGTACCTGCTTTCGAGAACAGCCCCTCAAATATACCCCGTCCCAAGCTAGAGTCACATGCTAGTTCCGCAATGCAGAGTGAGACTGGAAACTCGACACTGAGTGCGAGCAGGCAGAAGCAGACGAAACGTGATGAGGTCCGGCATTCTTCCCTATTAATGTGGTAGCATAGGCTGAAACCACCCACACAGGCCATTCGGAAGAAGATGGAGGCGGACCTCAACAAGAAGAAGGGAAACGCTACTCGAGCTCGACATACTCGAAAAGCCCCTCCTGGGACAGTCCTTGCCCTCAAGCCCAGTCAGGCTCTTCAAATAAAACCAAATACTACCGTGGCAGAAGCGGCCC